GACTATGGCAGAGCCACTTTCAAACTGGATGAACTGCATTCCTTCTACCTCCTCTACCCCAGTTACTGGAATCCTCAAAAATGCACAACAAAAACATACAAAAAAAATTGTTTTCATTACTATGTTTCATTACTAAACAGTTTTCATTGCAGACATTTGTTTAATGAATATTTTGCCTTGGAGATAAAATACACATTTTTAATCAGAACAGATTTGACAGTTTGCATGGCTTATGACATACATTAAGCACTTTAAATAGGAGAAAAAATAAACCCAGCGCATGTGTCAGATAAATGAAAATTAAACAATACCGGGAATATAGTCCTTAACACAGTTAAATAAACGTCAATATTTTAGTGGCGGAGGCTAGTAAACACCTACAGATCTAAACCCCAACCCTCACCAGACATAAAAATAGGCTACAATTTGTATTTTTGTAGCCCATTCAAACCCACTTTACTTAATGCCAAAATCATGAAAAAAAAGAAAAAATGAATCCCAAGTAAAAAGGAAAAAGCAAACTTTAAATGAACAAAAGTATTGGGGACGCACCTCTCAATCATTGAATTCTGGTGTTTCATTTAGACCCATTGTCACAGGTGTATAAAATCAAGCACCTAGCCGTGCAATCAGATTTACAAACATTTGTGAAAGAATCGGTTGTTCCGAAGAGCTCAGTGAATTCAAGCGTGGTGCTGTCATAGGATGCCACCTTTATAATATGTCAAATCATGAAATTTCTTTCTTACTAGATAGTCCACGATGAACTGTAAGTGGAAGTGTTTAGGAACAGGAGAAACTCAGCCGTGAAGTGGGAGACCACGTAAAGTAACAGAGAGAGGTCTTCGAATGCTGAGCCGCATAGTGTGTAAAAGTCGCCAACACTCTGTTGACTCAGTAACTGCAGAATTCCAAACTTCCTCTGGCATTAACTCCAGCACAAAAACTGTGAGCCTGGAGCTTCATGGAATGGGCTTCCATGGCCAAGCAGCTCCATGCAAGCCTCATATAACTAAGCACAATGCATTGGATGGAGAGGTGTAGAGCACGCTGCCACTGGACTCTGAAGCAGTGGAAATGTGTTCTGTGGAGTGACAAATCACACTTCTCTGTCTGGCAGTCTGATGGATGAGTCTGTGTCTGGCAGATGCCAGAAGAACATTACCTGCCTGACTGTGTTATGCCAACTGTTTGGTGGAGGAGGGATAATGGTATGGGGTTGTCTTTCAGGGGCTAGGCTAGGTTTCTTATGTCTAGTGAAGGGAACTCTTAATGCATTAGCATACCAAGACATATTGGACAATTCTACACACAGTAAGGAAGGTCCATAAAGATGTAGTTGGCTGAGTTTGGTGTGGAAGAATATGACTGGCCCACACAGAGCCCTGACCTCAACTCGATCAAACACCTTTGAGATGAACTAGAATGGAGATTGCAGGCTTGGCTTTCAAGTCCAACATCAGGGTAAAAATTCCCACAGACACCCTCCAAAATATTGTGTTAAGCCTTCCCAGAATTGTGGCAGCTGTTATAGTTGCAACAGGGGGACCAAATCCACATGGATGCCTATGGATTTAGTTTGGGATGTCAGAAAAGTTCCTATAGGTATAAAGACCAGGTGTCCCAATACTTCTGACAATATAGTGTACATTAATAACATACATTAAAATTGTTTAATCATATAATGTTTAATATTAATGTGTATTAAAGCTGTGGTGTCTTATTCACTGAAAGTGTTATGAATGCAATGCTTTAAGACATGTTAAAATACATTGTGCCAAGCTTGCTCATGAATGCAATTATAAGGGGTGAACAGATTAAAATATACCTTGACTGTTATAAATGTCATTATTTATATTCACTTTTATTAAGTGGGTACAGAAGTGAATGGAGATGAAGATGTTATGATTATTACAGATATTATTCATATTCACTTTCTAGCGACAGGACAGTGATGAACAAAGAAAATAAAAATATCATTGCTATCTTAGATATCACAACACACTCTGTAGAAATTTCACCTTTAGTGAATATAACGATACCCTGTATCGCTGTATTGAAAACACATTGAAAGTGTGTTATAGCAAACTGAAAATATTAAATCCAACACACTGACACAGACTGTTGCTAGGGAACAGCGTCTGACTAAAATGTAGCGAAGTCATTGAAAATGAGGAACTAATGGTATATTCAGTATAACACCATCTATCCTGCACGTGATTTCAACAGAAATGTTTTCTGAGCAAACCCTTTTTGAAAGAGTCCTTTTTATTTTTTTTATTTTTTTTTACTAAAACATTTCCAACACATTTGAGTCCCATAACATCTGACCGCCCTCTGGTACCTTCATTATTCAACTAGAACACACTGTCAGAATTCATTATTACTGTTATTTTAAAAACCACTTTTTTCATACTGGATGAATGAATAATTCACCCCCTGGCTGGCTAACAGCCCCTAAAACCTTCTCAGTCTACAGGTAAAACTGTCATTCAAAAACTCTTTTAGATAGAGTTTAGTTAAAAGCAGGGAACAGTCCGTTTGTCTAGTGCTGGTTCAACTGTGTTTGTAAATAAAGTTTCACAAACAACAAGGAAACAATGAATGGGCACAAATGTTGAAGAGGAGGCAAATGATCTGCAATGACTGGGTGATTAAACATGCAGGCAAAGACTTGAACACATGGAATCTGGGTAAAAAAATAGCCTGGTGATGAGAATTTGTAAATCACATACAGAGCAGAGAGGCTTTATAGAGAGTACTACATCTCTCTCAAAAGGCATTATGGGAAGTCTGCAGGAGATGACATAAAGTAGGCAATTAACGACTTCCAAATCAATAAAAAGTGATAATGATGTTAATTTAACAGTGTTTTTGCACAGTGATGGTGTGCAACTGATCTGTTGCCTTGGAGACCGAAACCATGAACGTAATATAGGCAGCCTTACTTTCACATTTAGCTGTAATTTTCGAATCTTACTGCTGTTAAAAACTGCACATAGGCACATGCCTGAGAGCGTGTGTGCATCCATACAAGGGCCATTTCTTCCAGATGAGTGTCATTAATGATGGAAAGCCAGGTCACCCCTGCATGGGTCAGGTTCAGGAACACATTAATACTCTAATACATCTTATCTATTCCTGAATCAATGGGCTTTACAACATTGAGGCTTGACAGTGAGATATGGAGAAGATAAAATGGTAATATTACAGTGGTAGGACAGCACACAATAAAATGGCAGAACATTATGTCAGTTGAACTCTGCAACATCACAACAAAACTCTTCAGCCTTAAGTAACCATTAACAGTAACACCTTCTATGAATGTCATGTCTATAAGAATCTATGCATACTTTCATAACACATTATAATGCATCCATAAAGCATTAAACATGTGGCTATAAATATTTATAAAAAGCTATAACATATTATAACCATGTGTATTATGCATTATGAATGCTTTATAAAGCTCTCATCTAAAATGCACTACAGATGCCTTCACAATATAGTACATATCATGTTTAGTTCTTATACCAACCATTATATTGCATTATGAAGGCATCTATAGTGCATTGTAGGCAAGAGCTTCATTGGAGCTAATGAAGTATTTTAATCAACACTATATTACTTTACTGTCAATTATACTTATACTTTCCATTATAATGCATTATAGATGACAGCTTTACCCCATTATCCCTGGATAGATTTAGGTATTCTAAAATTAAACAAGTTTGGGATGCCAGTTAAAGCAGAGAGATTGCAATGCCAGTTAATTCTGAACTACGAGGGATTACATGACCATGTTTGTTTAATCAGTTGTTAATTTCAGACAAATTTTTGCAAAAAAAAACCTTTAAGTAAACATATTTTGCCTTTAATGCAGAGAGAGACCTGGTTAAAGGGCAGCAAATATTCAGTAGAAAGCCAAACTTAAAGGCATTTCAAATGTTTGCAGAAAAACACATAAACAGATATCTGGCACTTGGGTGCGCCGCCATACCTGCGAAGGATCCTTTCCTATGCAAACATTCCATTTAGGTAGCAAAACATCTCAGCTAAAGTCTACATCACAGAGAGAAACTTGGGTCACAGAGAGCTATTCAGTTAGTCAGCGTTACAAATAGGTATATCTGTGGCTGTGGAAAGCATTCTGACACAGTCAGCAGTTTCTGCATTGAGCCCCGGAAAAGCTGTGGGAGGCTTTGCTCCTTAAACAAATGCGACTTGGTTTCATCAAAGGGATTTAAAGAGCAGGAGAAAGTAAAATTTCACAAGCAAAGCTGTAAAAATGCCGCATTCCTTTTTACCTTGGAGGTTGGAATGACATTACACCCAAGTTAACCGCGTTCCAGCAAAAGACAGAAAGCCTTCAGCAATACCAGGTGTAGACGGGTTCATTGTTAGCCATTGTTAGCAATACCAGCTGATAATGCATTACACAGTCAGGGCCGTAGCCAGGGTATGAAAAATAGTGAATAGTCCGGGATACCGTATACAGTATTTTGCAAATACAAACACAGCATCATGTCCACAGATAGCGGTTGGACAGTTCTGTGACTAACTGAATAGCTCTCTGTGACCCAAGTTTCTCTCTGTGATGTGGACTTTAGCTGAGATGTCCTGTTTAATGAGACACAAATAAGACATAAGTGTTAAACAGTATATACCTACAGCTTTCACTTCTGTTGATGAAGAGCACAGTCATCTTAAATTCTGAGGTCAGGGTTGCAGAGGTTCCTCCAAGTTTCAAAATCGGAACTTCGATTTAAAGGGGCGTTCCAATTGAAATTTCATGACTAGGACCTCAGAGATTCTGACTTCCCAGTTCAAATGCAAAAAAAAACAAAAGAATCCTAGAAGATCCAGTCTCTGTGGTGACACAGGGACCAAATTTCATAGGTGACTTGAGTGTGAGAGAAACATGTGGAATTGAGTTCGGTCTGGATCTGACTATAGAGAGAGCATAAGAGTCAGGTTCTACCATTCTTTGATTCACAGAACACCAGCATGTGAAGCCCTTCAGGAATCACTGATGGTTCAGGCTCTCTGGCAGGTAACAATCAGTTCACTCCCCTCAGCCTTTCAGTTATCCCTCCTGTAGCCCCCTGCCTTGTTCACGCCATCTGTACTGCCTGGGAACTTTCTTATCATGATTCCACTGAATGTCAAATACAAAGGTCTGTAACAACACATATGTCCATGTAACTGTATATAGCTTATGCATAAAGTTTTTTTTTTCTCCTAACACAAGCATAAACCCTCAAGGTAATCTCAGATGCAATTGAATACAAGCTGGTTTATCATCTCAGAATGTTCAGGTAATTTTGAAGGCTTGTGTTCACTGTTGGAAATTATGAAAATAAGTGTTTGGTTTGTTTGTTTACCTACTTGTTTCATCCAGTGCACAAGCAGGGTATCTGTGGGTCACTGTGGACCAGATGACTGTGGGTTGTTTGAATTTGTTGTTTCTCTTTTATATGGATGAGGGAAAAGAGGGACAATTCACAGAGCGGCTCACAGCAAGCTGAGAACTTTATTAACAAAACTGAAAAAAAGAGGGAAACATTAAATGAAGGGACCACAAGGGGTCATAACAAAACAGGGAAATTAAACAAACTAAAGAAACCACAAAGTAAATACAACTATGAAACACAGCATAACAGGCAGCAGGTCTAGAAAACAACCACAGCTACTAACACACAGCAACAACTATAATGACAGACTAAAGAACAGAATGAGGGCAGGCACTTAAATCTACACAGATAAGAAGGGCTATGGAACATAACCAAAACAACCAATCACTATTACAATTAACAAGCACTGGAACTAGGAGACATTAACAAACACTGAGGGCTAACAACACTAGGAGAGACTACCAACAAAAGTACAAGCGGAATATAATTAAACAAGGCACAAGCAGGGTAGACTAAAAAACAAGGACACTAAGCAAAGATACAGAAAAACAATACCAAACACAAAGGATAAATAACCAGTATACATTGCCTCAAACCCTGGAGGGGTTCAGTCACTGAGCCACAAGCTCAACCCATTGAGCTATGTGGTGGCCCAGGCAGCAGGGAAACACGCTAGGGATTGAGGGGCTACAAGATAGAGGGGGAAGCAGGACGGTCAGCGACATCTGCTGGCCAGATGGGGACAAGACACATAGGGCAGGGCCACACAGGCACTGACCCTGACAATTATCATTAGGCTCAAGTTCAAGACCCATAACTGCTTTAGGGATGCTCTCAGAACCCAAGGCTTCCTTAATGGTACATCACTTTAGACAAAGGGTCTGCTAGTCTGACAGAGCAGCTTTCTGTTTAAGGGTTGAGTCATTTGAGGCGTATGTTATCCAGGGATTCAGATAGAATCCCAAAGCTGTAATTGAGGGCACTATTTGTTCAAGCCTGGTCTTGATTGTGCTTGCCTATTTGTGGTAACTTTCTTTTTGGCTCAACTATTTTCTTTTCTGTTCACTTTTCTTTTTCCTTGAATTAATTACTTTTTGGCACTGTTCATCTGTAGCGACACTTGGGGGACGTAATTTACCATCTGCATCACCTTGTCCCTGTCAAAAGTCAGTTTTTCCACCACCTCTCGGCTGTCCCACAAAAAGGTCCTTAAATCATACCGCATAATTATGCGAAAACCAGGAGAAATCAGAATTGACCTTCATTACCGCTGCATCATTAAATAAAGGGAGAAAGGAGAAGCATATTTCCCATGAATATGAATATCTCTGAACTTCGGCATTCCATTGGTGGACTTTCTGTTGCCAAAAGTTGTTGACACTCCTGCTAAGTATGAATAATTATTCCTAAATACAAATACGTCATATCATGCACCTGCAGATTTAAACATAGCAAAAACCATTACTACTGTTCAGTAATAATTCCTACACTTCCTTTATATATGCATAATTGTGTGTAAATTTTTTGTTATTTATATAAACAAAAATAATAATATTTCTGTATTATGGGATAGATTTAGATGCAGCATGTTGGTACCTCAGAGGCATTTCACTTTTACCATAGTGTGTGCAGTTTAAAAGTGTCTCATAATACTTGGAATTTATGCATTAATCTTTCAGCAGACCTTATCTGTTTTTACCTGCAAACATAGACACATTCGTGCCAGAAGAAGGGGTGCAATACATTCATCTCTGCTCTTTACATACCTCAGCAGAATTACAGAATGCAGCTAAACCTTTACCTCTGAAAATGAGGTTTGGTCTCCATGCTAATGTGTGAACTGTGTGCGCATGAGGATTAGGCTGCTCTGCAGTGTTTAAAATACAGGGGCGGCTCGGTTTGAAGGGCTAAAGCCTCTCCATCAGCTCCTAGATGTTCTGCAGCACCAGGAAAATTGGGTAGAAAAGTGTTTGCTTTTTCCCTTTTAAAGGTGTTAACATGAGTCATTTCTTTTATAAAAAGGGAAAGGAATTGAAACAGGACTTTATAAATAATCAGTGTGACAAGTTGAAATGTGTATAACTCTGTAATTCGGTAAACGAAACATGACAAAGTTTTTGTTTTTTTTTGCAAACGTTCAAACCGAAAGTGAAGTGAGTTCAGCACCAGACAGCATAGGTAGCCACCACTGTGCCTGTTTTATGTGACATTTGTGTAAATGTATTTGGGTTCAGCAGCTGCTCCACAATAATGTGGAATGATTTCTAGAATCCAAGTGTTAAAAAAATATATATCGGGGTAACTCAAACGCCACCTGAAAACAAGCAGTTGAGCTTATGACTGGTTATATAGCATGTGTATGCATAAAGTAGGCCTTTGATCAAATTAAATAGTTGAATAATAAATAAAACTGCATAACATAATAACTTGACCCAATTTATTTTTAATTTTTGATATGATTTCATTTTGAATAACTGTAGAGATCCTTTTGTTTTGTTTCTTTTAATAGTTGCTTTCATTTTGCATCTTTGCCTATGTTATGTTGAGTCTGTTTGTGTTCCAGTGCGTAGTCAGTGACATTTCATCAGTCCCTCATTTCTGTGTACCATGATGGTGTGTGCTGGTCTGTCATTCTTGAGGTCACAAACAAAGGTGTCTACCTTAATGTAATTTATATCTTGTGTGCATTACAGCTTCAGATCATATTCAGGTAAGCTTTTATTATGTATGCTTTTATTGGCTGGTATCTCGGTGGCTGTATTTCATTCAAATGTAATTAAGGATGATAAAACCTGCTGGAATTTTAAAATGTCAGATGACTGTGCCCCACATGCTTTGAAAACTCAATGAAAAACACAAATCAATCATATATTTTATTCTAGGTTACGGGAATTTAGGCAGCTTTAGACTGTGCATATATCTGACATTTTCACCAGTAACCTTATCATGATGGAACACTCAGTCAAAATAGTAATAAGGTACTCAATCGAAATAGTAATAAAGTAGGATTGTGGGTTCAGCCTGTGCACACTCCCTGTCACCTTCTGTTCTACCTGCACAGCAGTGTTACAGATCTTCAAAGACCGCAGTCATGGACACTGAGAACAAGAACAAGCCAACCAGTGAGAGCAGAAAAACAAATATGAAACAAAAATATCAGATCTCCAGAATACTAGAGGAGCTGTAGCTGCCATCACAGTCATCTGTTCTAATAGCTGAAGCTGACACCATAGTGATCTGCTCTAATAGCAGAAGCTGACACCACAGTGATCTGCTCAAATAGCTGAAGTTGACACCACAATCGTCTGCTCTAATAGCTGAAGCTGACACCACAGTCATCTGCTCTAATAGCTGGAGCTGACACACCAGTCATCTGCTCTAA